ATATTCAATTAAGGGTTGGAGTATTAAATTAAAGAGTGATAAAATTTGTAAAGGTGTGAGTTTTTTATATCTAATAAGACAGATGAAGTTTTTAATTTTATTAAGAATTATATCTAATGTTGGTTTGGTTGAGCCGGTTTCATCAAGATAAATACCTAAGTATCTAATAATATCATTTGGTTTTCTGAGTAAAATAGTTTGATTATTGAAGATCAAAGGATTAGGTGAGGGTTTATATGATTTAGGGTGAATATGAAGTAAATCAGATTTAGTAGGATTAATATCTATGTTGTTAATTTTGTAAAGTTTAGAAGTGTCATTAAGGATATTTTGTATAGTTTTTGAGTCTTTGCAAAGCCATGTTGTATTATCCATATAGACTAATAGTGGAATTAAAATACTTGTAGAAGTAGTATTAGAAATGATATCAAGTGGTGATTGCAAAGCAATCTTAAACATTTGATGTTAGTATTTTTGATGAATGAAAGAAAGTATAGAATTATAATAAATTTTTCAGAGTAGTGATAAGTAGGTTTCTCCTTATTTGATTCCTGATTGGATATTAACTGGAGAGGTAAGGCTATAAGCTGTGATAATTCTTGCTTGTCTAGAGGTGTGTAGTTCAGTAATTAAGTTAATTTCTGAAGGAGAGATACCAATTCTTTTGCAAGTATTTTGGAGGTGAATGATATTAATCTTGTCAAAAGCTTTAAACATATCTTGAAAAAGAATCTAAGCTTCTTTATTGTGAAGTTTGTAGTGTTCAATAGTATTGTGAAGTATTTGTATGAAAATATGGGTTGAAGAGTTTTTTGATGCTGCAAAGTTTAGATTAGATAAAAGGTGATTATAAGAAATAATTTGATTAAGCCGTTTTGTGAAAATTTTGGTAAAGGTTTTTTGAAAGGTTTGAGTATAGAAATTGGCCGAACTTGATTGAAAGTAAAATCTCAGTTAGATTTTTTTGGAATAAGGAATATATTAGAGAATTTCCAGTCTGTGAGAACTTTTTGAAGTTGAAAACATTTGTTAAAAAACTTTTTGAAAAGTTTTTGTGCCTTAGAGCTAGAATGTTTGATATATTCATAGCAGATTTCTGATAAACCAGCAGCTTTTTGATTAGATAAGTTAGTTATGATATCTAGCCATTCTTGGTCTGTAATATTTTAAAAATGATTATTATAATGTTTTTCATATTTAGGATATAGTTGGTAAAGTTGATAAAATTCTGAAGTAGGTAGGATTGGTTCGAGTAGTTTTTTTTTGAAATATTCTAAGAAATGGTGGTGGATTGCTTTAAGTATTTCATTATGCTCTGTTAAAAGAGAGTTGTTAAGGAGTAGTCTATCAATGTATATATTATTAAATCTTTCTAGAATTTGCTTGTAGAAGAGTTTGGATGTTTCTAAGAAGAATTGGTTGCGGTTTTTGATTTTTTGCTGAATTTCATAATAGATAGTTTGTTGTTGCTAGAAATTGAGAGCATTTTTAATTTGATGGAATTCTTCTTTAATTTGAGGTAGCGTGGGTATAGATGTTTGAAAAGAACAATCAGTGTATTGAATAATATATTTTTCACAAAGTGTAGAAAAGTTGGTAGAGGAGGTGTGGTTTTTGAGGTATTGAATTTCTTTAAACCTATAAAAGAGTGGTGATTGTTTTGGTGAGGTAGTTTCTTTGATTTCTTTGATAGTTTTAATTTTAATAAAAGGAATGTGTTTAATAGCAGCTTTAATAAGGGTTTTCTGTAATTGGTTCCAAAATTTATTAAGTTGAGTTTGGTTAGTAATTTGGTCTATTTGTGAGTTTAGTTTTTGTAGATTAAGTGTAGTTTGATTTGCATAATTTTCTAAGATTTCTTTGGAACAATTTTTCCATAGAAATTTTTTTTACTTTTGTGTTGCTTATAAGATTTGGATTTGTTGATAATAATTGAAAGTTCGAGAGTAATGATGTTATAATCTGAGTCAAAGTTGCTATTTGGTAAGATATCTGTGTAGTTGATATTTGTGATACTAAGATTTGTTTAAATTTGATCTATTCTACTTTGGATATTAGAGCAGTGAAAGGTGAAGTTTTGGTTGTTTAGAAAAAAGAACCGATATGTATTTTTAAATTGATGGCTAATTAGATACTTAATAAGTTGTAGTTCTGGAATTGATGTCTTTTTAGGAGGTTTATAGTCAATACAAGAGTTAGGGATACTATTTAGGTCTCTCATAATTATAATTTTATACTTAGAGTCTTGGCAGAATGCAATGATTTTTTCTTGAATTTCTTTTCAAAGTAATTTTTTTCCCCAGTGAGGATATAAATCTGAAGTAGTCTAAGAGGTGTATTTTTAAAATGAAGGTCAATTCCTATAATATGACTATTGTAATTATATATATGTGCTATATATTTAGATATTTTGTTGTAAATAAAGAGGCCAACACTAGCTTGGTGTAGATTAGTATAAGAGCTCCAAAAGTTGGTGTATGTTTTTGCTTTACTGTTTATAAATTTACTAATTTTGGTTAGTAGGTGTGTTTCTGAGAGACTGAGTATGTTAAATGAGTTTTAATCTAATATTTCTTTAATAAGAAGTCTTTTTGCAGGTTGTAAGAGTCTATTTGTATTAAGTGAAGCAATTTTAATAGAGATTAAAATATATTCAGGTTCATAAGTACAGGTGGTATTAATAGAGAGTAGGGTAGATGGAGGAGGAGTATTTATTGTAGCAGTAGAGGATGAGGTAGATTCTGGTGTGTGTGGAGGAGTTAGAAAAGGATTGTGAGTTATTAAATAATTCTCAATATTATTTTTAAAAAATGACGATGATCTAAGAGGTAATTCTCAATATTTGCTAAGACTGAATTGTTTAATTATTTTATGGTTGAGTAGAAGATTGTTGTCATGTGGAAGATAAATATGTGTTTCTAAATTAGTACTATCAACTGAGATAGTTATATTATCTTTAAATTGTAACTGTTGAAGCAGTTGTAAAAAGGATCCTAGAGTTTGTAGAGTTGATGCTAGTGGGAGCTTATAATAAAGTAGAAAATTATTATAGCAGGGTTCAGAATCTATTGTTCTGAACCCTCCTTCTGAAAAGGAGGTTCTTGTTGCGAGAAAGTTTCTTGTTGAAAGGAGGGTTCTTGTTGAGGAGGAGGTAATGAGGTAAAAAATAGTTCATCTTTGAAATCCATAGGTAAGAAATTCCTTTTAAATTTTTGTTTAAGGAATTCTTCTGCTTGACGAAGTGTAGTTTCAGAATAATGTTTAGTAATAGATGATATAGATGGAGGGTTGTCTTCTTGTAGGTCTTTAATAAGATCGAAATAGGTAATAATGTGAGCAAGAAAGTCAAATTCGACAGGATTGTTTGTGACTAGATCCACTGCTTCTTCTTTGGTTTTGTCATTGATACTATGATTACATGCTGCAGCTGAGTGGTATAGTGTAAGGTATTTGTAGAAATAGGTACTGCGTCATTTTTTACTAAAAGTTACTTGATTCAATTCACAAGCTGTTTCTTTAGCTTTAGTTGCAAGTTTGTCAAGAGCAGGAATAGGTATTTGTGTCTTGTAGAAGGCTTCATATGGAGCATTTTTATTAAAGATAGAGGCATCAATTAGAGGTTCAGTCCAAATTAGTTCTTCTTCAGATGGAGATTTAGGAAAGGTCTTATAAGAGTGCTTAAATATATCTCTGAGTAAACGGTCTTTGTCATGTAAGTTGAAGTTATTAGGATTGCGATATTCACATTTTTGATCCTTGCACTGGAGTGTATAGAAATTAGTAAATTTAGTGGCATGGAATTTCTATTATGTGCATTAGAAGGTTCAGAAAAATTAAAATTGGAAAGAATAAGGTTAGTTAAATAAGCTATAAATTGTCTGTGTATTTGGACTTGTATATTGAGAAGAGTTTCTTTTTTATCAGAAGGGTTGGCGAATTGTTTATAATAGATAGGATATTGCTTATCAAACTATTTGTTTAAATTCTCTTTAGAGTTAAAGAGAAATGGAATGTAGAATTGTTTAAGAAAGAGAGTCTTAGAGAGGTTGAATAATACCAATGTATTATATCTGGAGTCAGATTTTATTGTAAGATAAGGTTCTTCTAGATTAGTTGTAGTGATTTCTGTAGTGATGTGGAACTTTTTAGAAAAGAAGTTAAGATCTTTAGCAAGCTTAATGTAGTTAATAATTTCATACTGTTCAGAAAGGTATAGGTGAAAACATGCAATATTAAGGCAGACTTGAAATCTTTGTTTTTGAGTATATAGAAAAAAGGTAAGAGATGATTCGAAAATTTTAACATAATTAAGTTTAGTAAATAGAATAGTTGTAAATCTGAGCAATAAGTTTCTGAATGTGGTTTCAAGATATTTAAATGGAATAGGTGCTTGAGGGTTAACATCAGGATTGGCTTTGTAGATAATATCTGTAAGGAATTGAGGTTTTTCGGCTGCCATAGCACGGACAATATATTGAAAAGAAGCTTTAAGTGGAGGTCTGGTTTTGGTAGCAGGCTTAATTTCTTTTCCTGGGTAGAAGTTATATAGATGTTTTTTAATGAAGATAAGGATTTGTCTAGCCAAAGGATTGAGTTTAGTTTGTCTTGCCATTTCTTCATCAATAGAAAATTTGGTAAGCCAATCTAAGCCTGCAGTAACTTTGTTGGCTGCTTTTTTCTCCTGTTGTTGGTGAAGTGTTTTGAGTACAGCTTGTGTTTGAGATTCTTCTTCTTGTAGTTGTTTGTATTGGTTCACAGTTATATATTGAATACTCTCAAATAAATCAGAAGTGTTGTTATTTTCTATGTTTTCATCTGTTTCCATTTCTACCATTTGTTGGTCTGTTCAGATTGTTGTTTCTGTTTGGATTGTTGTTATTCATTACTTGCTGTTTGTTGTTGGTGATCAGAAAATTGTTGTTGTTGTTGTTTTTTTAATAAACGTTTTTTGTCTGCCTTTGTCTATTTTTTCGCTTCTTTTGTTTTTTGTTGAAGGCATTCTAGGTGGTATGCTTCATTGTCATAGAAGAAGCAACATTCTGAAAGTTGGTAGTAATTGTTAATAGCTTTGCAACTGATTACAGTCCAGCATTTAGAGTATGTGTGGATATGAGCTTTAGGAGCAGGAGAAGTTGGAATAGTTGTTGATATTAATGCAATAGCTTGATTTATTTGTTTGGTATTTCTTTGTTTGTTTTTCTTACCAACAACAGTAGCTAAGAATATAGAAGCATGAATAATACTGGTTGCAGAGTTGAATAGTATATGAAAGTTGCTACAAAGACATTTAACTGTTGCAGTTGTATATAGTGCTTTGAAGAAGTGAGTTTTTTTAACTTGTTTGGTGTTTACTGGTCTAAACTGAGGAGAGATTGTTCTAACCATGCTTGGTTCATCTTCATAGATAGTGACTCCATCTGAATCTTGAGTAATTGAAGTAGACATGTTGGTGGATATTTTTGCTTAAAGACACTGATGTGATTGTTTTAGTAAAATTCTTAAGAAATAGCATTTAGAAAGTTTAAAATAGTGTATTTAATAGATTTAGGCAGAGGTAGATATTACTGAAGTCTTTAATCTAACTATTGTGACTAGTGTAGTTTGTATAACCTTGTGTAACCCAAATTGGTTTAAAATAGTATGAGAGTGTGGCTAGTGTAGCTGGTGTAACAAAAAGGTTATATGTAACACCAAACTACTATATATATAGAATATAAAGTAGTATAAAAATAGCAACTAATAAAATAGATTTGTATTATTAATTAGATTACTATTTTAGGTAGTTTGATTGATACAATAGAAAATTTAATTAATTCTAAGTTTGAATATTATCTATTGTTATACAAAAAACAGGTTGGAAAAAAAAAAGTTGGGGTAAGGACAAAAGAATTTTTATGAATTTTTGTAAAGAAGCAAAGAGGGTTTTTGTTAATATTTTGGTCAATATTAGGCCAAAAGCCTCTATTGAGAGCTTGTTTTGACCAGATGAATGAGCTTAACAACTTATCTTAGTGCTATTAGATAAGTTGTAAAGACAGTTTTAGAGAAATAGTTAAAAGTTTGAATTCTAAAACCAAAAGAGGTTTTTGTAGCGTTATGCTACGAGTTTTCAAGATAGAGGCTTGAAACTTTTAAATTATATGTAAAATTAAGAGCTAAACAAGTTTACTTAAGATGTTAAAAGCAGTTATCTTAATAAAATATTGAGTTATTAAGAATTTTATACTGGTGAATTTTTAATTAAATTTTGTGTAAGTGATTGATGAAAAGAGTTTTTTTTGTATATCTAGTATTTATTTTCATATACACATATATGCAAATTCAATCAAAATTTTAAATAATACAATTTGGTTAAATGTATATATAAAGTGTTATGTATTAAAATAGCATTTTTTAAAAAATGTGTTTTTATTAGATTTATATAAATTTTGATATGATCGATATATTTTTTTTCCTTCGGCAATCCTGTTTACTTTATTATGAAAACAGACTTTCATTTCTATATTGGCATATGAAGAAATCTAAAATCTATAAGTGTTTCAACCAAAGAGTAAACTCACCCATAGTGTACCTGGCAGATTCTGAAACATCCACTTGCAGTCAGGGCGAACCATTAAACCGCTGTGTTTTGCCTAGATGCGACCTGCCTAGCAATACTTGGCCTCCTCCAGAGATCCAGAACTCACTCCAGACTTATTTCTCTTAGATTTCTCGGCTAGCTGTTGCATGCCTCATCAAAATTTCTGCTTTACAATAGAATGCTGCCAAATTGATAACACTTTCTCGTAGAGAAGGAAAAAAGAAAAAAAAAAGGGGATAATAGAGAACAAAAAAAAAAGGTATGCAATAAAAACAAATACATCAAAGAAAACGAATACTAATACTAAGGAATATAAAAAAACTAAACTAAAAACCTAAAAGAAAATATCGCTAAAAAGAAGAAAACCTGCTAACCAGGCGAAAACTTCTAATTATACAGAGTAATGATCTACTATTAAGTGTGTGAGTCTTGACAAAAATAAAATATAAACCTGAAACAAAATGCACTATAACTCATGTCAGAGGCTAAAATTATATACAAGGGACACGTATATCTCAAAACACATTGCTTGACTTTTCTCAATTAAATCTATATCTTCATCTGAAAGTATAAGGACTTTAAAAACTCCACATGACTTGTTGTTATCATTTCATTTATTTCATAATATATGCTGATTTGTCATCATCTAGTTTTCCGATATGGAAGTGGTAAATAATGCTGATCTTTTGGAGGAAGTAAGCTGAATTCTCCACTTTTTGTCGAAAATTTTGAAGCCAAAAGACAGCGAGAAAATATCGAGTTTTTGCGAGTTTTCCAACCAAGGAGTGTTGTTCCAAGAGTTCTTCAAAGTCTTCCATCTTCAAACAAACTTTAGTTTTCTTTTCTACTTGCTGTTCCTAGAGACTCCTCTGGTTTGGATGCCAAATGCAAAGGAAAGTCCACCCAAGAAGTACAGAGAACAAAGCTTGACCTCTTTGCAAACCATCCAAAACATCCGCTCCTCAGTATATCACGTTTAAAGACTTCATTGACAACAGTTCGTATCAAAAAAACTCCAAGTTGTTGTTGACTTCTAGGCTTGAATCTTCAACTTGCTTTCGGTATTAGGTTGGTACAAGTGATCATCAGGAAGAGTTTTTTTTGATCAATATTTTTTAATTATAAATAAAAGTCAATTTATATAATAAAAAATCAAGATAATTGTAAAAAAAAATCACACAAGGCTGCATAAAACCAATATATCACGAGATTATTCAATAGTCATCTGTTGTATTTAATCAATTAAAATCGTAAAATTTAATTAATTCTAAATCAATCCAAAAATCAAAACAAATGATTAAACTCAATTATCTCAAAATAAAATATATATAAAAAAGGACTGTTTTAATAGTAATACCCCATATACTGTATGCATATATAAAATAAAAAAATTATTACAAATCATCACTAGTAACTATTATCAGTAATTTATGATATATAATTAGATATAATGTATAAACTTTTTAAACAAAAGTTTATTTGTTTTGATATTAAGTAAAGGTAATAGTTTAATAATAAAGTTAAACAAAATCTATAGTAAAATTTTGCAAAAAATTTTTTTTGTTAAAGCCTGAAAGATAGTTTCATAGACCAAATTTTAAGATTTGATTGATTTTTTATAAAATTCTTTGTTTTTGTTACATAAAACTGATCTGCACATTACACCTAATCTTGCAAATTAATTGGCTAATTATACATCGGTGATAATTACTAGTGGTGATAAATAACAAACTTCTAAAAATAAATACTAAGTATATATATTAAATTATATTTAAACTATACAATAATAATAACAACTCTTTTTGATAATTCTCTAATTAATACTTCAAAAAATTGAACTATAAAAAACATTATAAAAAACATTAAAGTAAATAATATACTTAGTTCTATACAAGTAGATATGTTGTTAACAAAATACTGTTATAAAACAGTTTTATTTTATTGGTTTATTATTTTATCTTAGTATTATTTTATTATTTCGATATTTGTATTTTATTAGTTATTAGTTATTATTATATTTATCTTAGAAAAGAATTTAAAAGACATGTATAATAATTAGCCTTAATATTTAACATTTAGCAATTAATGATTAGCAATTACGCTTAGTGATTAATGATTAACAATTATGCTTAGTAATTAATAATTAGCAATTACACTTAATGATTAATGATTAGCAATTATGCTTAGTGATTAGTGATTAATAATTAATGTTTAATGCTTAACAATTAGCAATTACAATTAGTGCTTAGTACTAAGTAAACTATGCTTAGCTGCAATGATTAGCAATTAGCTTTAAAGATATAAAAAGGCTGTAAAATTTCCAAGTTAACATTAGACCTGTTTATTGTTTACCTCAGATACAGACTCTTTTTTTCTCTAAATTCTCTTTTGTAATATTATAGGATTCTTTAGAAATAGAAATCTAAGGATAGCTTATCTTATTTATATTTAATAAACATATATTTTATCTATAAACTATTGTCTGCTAAACTGTCACAGACAGAAGGGTATAGTTTCTTCAAGAAGCAAAAATTATACTTATCTATTAGACACTACTATAAACCTGTAAAGGATCTCTGTAGCTGTGTCATTGTTATAGTACTGCTGTTAAGAAGACCATAGTACTATAACATTTGGTGTCTTCTGATAAAAAACATTTTAAAACCATTACTGGACAATATTATTCTGGCCCCTCTTAATTAATAGCTGTTTTCTGAAGGATAGTTATCCCAAATTGAATTTGAGTATTGTAGACGACAATTCCGTTTTAATTTATTTTAACTAGTGCTTAAATAATATTATTCTAGAATATTGAAGGATTCCCTACAAGCCAAAGTGTAAACATAAGGATCCAACCTTAAGAAACATATTTTATTATTATCTTCTCTTTCTTAACCACAAACTGGCTTTGGACTTTACTTTATGACTGATAGAGTTATTCAACTACACAACAAATATATTGAAAACTACAAATACAAATATACCCAAAACCCTGCTCTTCTTTATACAACTTTACAAGCTTTAAATTTAGACCTTTTTTGTTAAGTTTGCTTCTTACCATTAAGAACTAGTGCTTGCACTTTTTATCGAACTAATTTTGGAAGATTTTAAAATTGATATTCTAATATCTATTTTGCTTACTCTTCTACCTCTAAAACTATTGCAAATTTTAGACATTTAACTGTAACTCAAGACTGACCCTCTATTTGCACTTTTATCTAAAATATTATTTTTAGTTGCTAATACAACCAAGATATTAAAAACCCTAGAGAAATTGCTTTTGCATTATTTACTAGATATACACACCTCACTGTCTTACCTACTATCAACTTTGAATACTAAAATGTTTTTGACCACTATATTGATCTAGCTTATAATTTTGAATATGAAGAACCAGAACAATACAAAAGATACTTTGCAACCTAGAATCCTCTATACAACATCAACTAGATGATAATTATAGTTTTAGCTATCAAGACTAACAGATTGTCCTAAGAACCTCATCTCCTCCTAGTTTACTCTCTTATCAAGACAAAACAGATAACCCTTACTATAAACCTTTCTAACATTCTTTTTGAAATATATTTGAAGTACCTTAAGAACAATTCATTAAAGTAGATCTTGTCTTTCTCCCAGAAGTACAAATAAAAGAACATACTTTACAAAGAGAAGAAGTTCTACTTCTAGAGAATTCAGATCAAGAAGACGATTCTGATTCTAATATGGTGCAGGAAGTCTATACTCAACAGTTACACAAAGTGTTTCAATTTTTTAAATGGCTATAACTTTTTATCTAA